GTACTGAGCCGCTCCACTGATGCTGTTTGCGGGGCAGACTGTACTAAGTTGCGCCCTGACACATACTCTGTCTGTCTGTGCCTCAGTGTCTTCTAATCAGGTGCCTCCTCGTTCTTAACCGAAACCAATCTGCTTACTTAGGCATTTAACTTAAACTCTCTACGGGACAGGCGATTATTGATTGGCAGCCTTGGATTGATGCAGCCTTTGGAAATAATAAAACCGAGTGAGCAGGGGACCGATCCATTGACCTCTGCAGAAACGTTCATGACGAACAATCGTGCAGACGTTTTGACCTGCTGCTCGACACTTGAGTACAAGGAAGTGCATCGGTTGCTGAAAACATTGTTACACACTGTCGGGCACTGTATACGGCGTGATCGTGCGCCCCACCCCACGCCGTGTCGAGCATCTTATCTCCGAGGATACGACACTAGTCTAGACTTTTGGACTTTTGGCGACGCCCTGTGCCGCAAATGCACCCTGCAATACTGAATCTAGGTAGTTGTTTTGTCTTTATCCTGTGTGTCCTTCAGTTTCAATGCCTACAATGTATACTTGTTCTCGCGAAGACGAGATCAGATAAAAAGAAATGGCAAAAAATAGTGAATCTAGTGTAGTTGCGTCGTATGGGTCAAGAGGGAAGTTCTGGGAAATTTTGAAGTTTCCTAACTTTTTCTTCCATGAAAACTTGTTTATTAAGTTAATTTTATATATTGCGTGATACACAAAGAACAAAATTTCTCTTGAGACAAGGCGATATTACCCTCGTCGGGTTTCAATAGAAATTTCATATTTTGTCCCACTGTTATGTGCTTTTGGAACCAGACCTCGAATAACAAGTCACAATTTTTCTAGGTCTTGGTCTTGCGCACTATTTTCTGCAAAATACAGCATAATATTTGTGTTGCACTCTTGTACGCGTAAGTTTTAAAAAAAATTAATCCAGGGGCCTGTTCGTTGTCAGAATGCACGGGATAGCTGAAGTGTTGTTAAGATCGCTAAAAAGGATAACCGATTAATTTTTTTTTTTTTGTGTACCGATTGAGTATCCATCCATATACCGATATATGTTTAATAAACTCCTTGAAGAGCAGCTCTTCTTCCCGTAGTCCAAAGAGGAGGTACTAAATGTGCCCGGACCTCGGCGCGGTATACTGCGCCACACGCTCCAGCAGGATTCAAAATTTAACTTGTCATTCCCTCTGTTTTCAGTTGATCGTCAACTACCTCTGCGACATGGACGACTTGGACGACGACGACGGACCGACGTCCAGGTGAGTGAAAACGGCCCAATTTATACTTCAAATATGTGAAAACGATATACATAAAATAAAAATGTAGCAATTGGCGTCTTAAACTCGAACCGGCGGATACTCGCTCCGACGCTACGACGACGGTTATCGGGGTTTTAATTAATTATGGAGGTGAGTGAGCGGTGGCCGGACCGGCAAAAAAATAAATATAAAACAGTATTGCCGACTATAACACCGCAGCTCCGCCGCGCCCCGCTGCGCCCGCAGACGGATGTGGCCAAAAGTTGAAGACGGCCCGAGGCGTGGCGCGGCGTGGCGTAGAGGGGGACAAGCGGGCGGGACGCGCGTACCTGGCCAGCTGTCTGACAGGCTTCCTGTGGGCAACGCACTGAGGACCTTGACTTGCTCCCGGCGTGTGAGCGTTGGTGTGAGTGTGCATGCGGCGTTGTGCACGGTGCGAGGCACAGTGCCTGCCGGGGCAGGTAACACGTCCTTGGACTTGACTCCATGGATGCCCTCGCGGCCCTCGCACGGCGCTCCGGGCAGCGCGCCAACAAGCGCCGGGAGGAGGACCAGCGCCGCGGCACCCCTACCCGGCACCCCCC